GTCGGTTTCTTGGGGCATTTGCTAATCTCAGTTGGTTAAGTTGTGTAAAACTGTGATAGTTTTTTACGATTTTGGGTGGAACTGTGTCTAATTGCTGAAATTTGTTAATTTGTTTAGACATGAACGCTGCTCATAGTTTGAGTGAAATTGGTTGGACGTCCTTTGCCCGTGGAGTTTAGATGTTACATTGTTTGGGGTGGTTTCCTGGTACTGATTGAATTATTGGGCATAAATTGCTCAGGGCTTTACATTGCTAATTTGGTGGGCCATTTATTATGCACTACCCTTTTGAATTGGGAGATACCTGTGCTTATTGGGTTGATTGTTGACTTCACTAGAGGATATTGATTTCTACTGATCTGCATTTACTTGTTCCTCTATATGTTTGACAGGTGCCGAACCTGTGCAATAATAATTACTAAAAAATCCTAATTACCACCTTAATTAAATAATTATAGAACAAATCCAAGTACTGGAGCAGGGACCCTAGGTGTGCAATGGGTTACTTGATTCACCCTGTTCCCGAAGAGTTTGCTTGATCCGATATACCGGATTTGTCTATAAAAATACTAATTTTGCGTACAATGGCAAGTAGGGTCGATTCCACAGGGAGCAGGTAGAAAATTATTTCTTTCCAAATTAGTAGAACGAAATTGGGGGATTTTCAATGGGAGGCAAATAAAAATAACATAAAATAAAACAAACAAAATTCAAAACTAACTCATAAAGCACAATTCACTAAAAATAGCAATTAACAAAATTCCACCCAAAGGATCAACTGCTCAGGCACGGTCCAATTAAATGATCATCGATGCAAAGATATTTCACCAATTCATCACTAGATTGGTTATAGTTATCAATAAGCTCTGACAACCAATTCTTCCTTACCTTTTCGACAGTCAAGGTACGACCATTGACTGCTTCCCTAATCAGATAACAACTCTAGGTACGACCGTAGGAATTTAATTACCCAATTGCATTAAAACTAGAAGAACCCAACTCTAACCAATAAACACGCTAAGAGGGTTTATTTAAGCTAGATCTTGCGTTTCCCCATCATAAAACCAATTATGGTGGTTGCCACGAGGTGTCAATTAAATGAACAATTACGGATTCTATTTAATTAATGTGGCAGTAGGCTATTAAATTAAATCAAATACCCGGCCGTTGATATTCAATTAATCAAATACCCATGAACAATTAATTCAGAAAATACACGAATAGCAATAAATTGGAAGAAATAATGAAGATTCGATTAGATCTCACAGATTTTATGGACCGCGCCCTCGCGTCAACCTTTGGGTAGACGAGAAAATTAGCCGTTCCTCATCATATCAATCCCGCGTGACTTAATTGAATTCATTCAATTAATTGCCGAAGAATTGAAAAAGATGAATTAATGTAGGAACTGCAGAAAAAGCTTCGCTTCCCTTTGTTGGGTTTCGTGTTCGTACCCCTGGAGCGAGAGTAGAAGCAAAAGTCGAATAGGAAAAATTGTACAGAAGCCAAAAGCAAAAGCTACAGCAACGGAGAAAGTCTCCAATGTCTGACCCAGAGCCGCAGAAGGAACAAATGAAAAACCAAAAGAAAACCGTCTGACCAATCTTCCCCAAAAAGTAGAAAAAGAGAACCTAAGGCTAAAAAATAGATGATGCTCAATCTTGCTTTGTCCTTTTCTTTTTATAGCCGCCGTCCAAGAAGAGTCAAAGAAGGAAACGTCTGGTGCAATTGATTCTACAAAAGCCATTTCCCTTTTGGAGTTTTGATCCCATGTGCCTGGTCCACATGGACCACGGTCCGTCTTTCGGTTTCGTCCACCTTCCAAGGCGTGGTCACGCCCTGGGACGACAAGTCTTCTGGAAATCTACCCCGCGAGATCATTTTTAATGCCGATCACCTATAATTCATACGAATGTGAGATATGAGTTAAATCTCAGTATTTAGCACCGTAAATAGCCAAAATTAGGCCAAAATAACACTGCAAAATATGCCCAATAACTGCTCTATCAAATCCCCCCACACCTAGACAATGCTTGCCCTCAAGCATTTCAAAGCTCAGAAGTACAACCAAGAGAGCGGAGGTCATGCAGTAGTCTATACTAACACAAGCATCTAATGTCCCTGACAATATCACCAAAAGTAGAGCACACCAGACCTGTTGTAATTCAAAGAATATATATGAATACTAAGAACGCTCAAATCAACATCACGGAATGCCATTACCATACGCTTGCACATTCATCATATCTCCACCACTTAAAAGTGAACTAAACACATAAATCAAAGGGGCTTTAATAAGGTTGTAATGGGGCTCAGGTGAAAGGCGGGTTAAGAAGATATAGATAGGGGGTAAAGTGTCAAGAAAATGTCCGAAACCCACCAATAACCACAGTGCTAGGGGGCAGTTTTCATTTGCTGTACCCTTTGTACAAGTGTCCCCAATTTTTTTCTCTTTCTCTCTTTTTTTTTTTTGGATTGAATACTGCTCGCAAGGCGTGGGCACGCCTTGTACCCCATAGTCCTCTGGTCACGAGGTCTCTTCAGGATTTTTTTTTTTTTTAAGGAGAAAGTCCTGTAAGGCGTGGGCACGCCCTGTAAGCCAAAGTCCTCTGGTCAGTGGCCTTTTTCCAATTTTCCCTTCTTTATACAAGGATAGCATCATATAGCTCCTAATCTAACAGCACTTGCAACCCCAATTTTGTTTGCTTTGCACAAATGATGAAATTCAGGCATCCCTTGACAACACAGGGGTAAACAAGAAAGTTTAAAGAGGGTTTGGATTAACAAACACGGATAACAACCAGAAACGAAGGACAAAAGCTCAAATTAGTTCACTATTGGGAGATAAGATGAGGGCTTGATTTTTTTAGATAGCTAAAGAGGGTTAAATCCTAAATGCCCATATCATTTCAAATGCATCCAATTCAACAAAAATGTGGCATTGACATGTATAAACTAGCAAGTTCTAGAATGCCAATACCATGTGTGATACCCACTCAATCAAACAAAAATAGAGCAAACAAGAATAATGTGCTCATATAAGGCTCAAAAACTCCCCCAAAAGTTACAAGAATGGGTCAATTCCAGCATATTCAACATTCAACGACACTACCAAGGGAAACAAAATGCACAGCTAGTATATTCGACCACATACCCACTCACTTTGATTGTGTCATTCATCACAGCAACATGCCCTAATACTAACAAGCATAGAAATAGCCAAAAAGCCGCCTAACTACAATATTTTATTTTTTTTTTCATTTTGTTTTTGTTTTGTTTTTGTTTTTGTTTTTTTTGTTTTTTGTTTTTTGTTTTTTTTTAAGTAACAAAGAAAAAAAAATAATGGAAGCCATTAATCCCCCCACACCTAAAACCTACATTGTTCTCAATGTAGAAAAGACAAATGAAGTATTAGGGGAAAAGAAAAGAAACTTCCCTGACCACTGGGGAGAGAAAGTGAGACACTAAGGCGGAGGAGGTGAGACGGCTGCGTGTACAAGGTGGTGTGGTGGCGGCGGACGTAACACCAACAGGAAGGAGAAGACTGAAGTTTCTTTTTCGGAAGTGTTGGAAGGCGTGGGCACGCCTTAGAAGTTATAGTCGTCTGACCGTCAATTCCAAAACTCCATTCCTTAGGTGTGATGACCTAGCGTGGGTATGTCTAGCTGCCAACTTCCTGTCACAAAATAACAACCCACTAAATGACACTAACACTTAACAAAAACTTCAAAAATATAAGAAAACTAAAACAAAAGAAGGCTTGGGTTGCCTCCCAAGCAGCGCCTTTCTTTAATGTCTTTGGCTAGACATAACACCACTCTTTAGTCTGGATGTAATTGAATTTTCCTTGTAATTGGTGGCCCTCCTCCAGGATCCACATGGCCATTGAGTGCAACTTTTTTCCTAAATTTTCTCTCCATTTTTACCTCATGAATTGCTTTTATCCTATAGGACTTGTTCGCAGCAACCTTGGATTTACCCCTATAAGGAAACTTAGAAAATTCTTGCACAGAGGGATTAGTGGCATACATAGCAAACACAGAATGAGAGTTAACAGGATATTTCATTGTATCAAAAATATTAAAGTGGACTATTTCTCCATCAAATTTCATCGTGAGAGTACCCTTACTAACATCAATTTTAGTTTGGGCAGTACTCAAAAATGGTATTCCTAATATAATGGGTGATGGATTTAGGGCACTTCTATCATCCATGTAAAGCACATAAAAATCAGCAGAAAAAATTAATCCATCTATTTGCACTAAAACATCCTTAACTATCCCATCCGGATAAGCACATGTACGATCAGCCAATTGAATTATTATCCCCGTTTCTTTTAAAGGTCCTAAATTTAGCGAATCATAGATTGACTTAGGCATCACATTAATAGAAGCTCCTAAATCTATCATGGCATTTTTGATACTAGAATGACCAATCTTACAGGGGATAGCAAACATACCTGGATCTCCGCATTTGGGTGGGAGTTTCCTTTGAAGTACAGCTGATACATTCTCTCCTACCATCACTCTTTCATCACCCCTTAACTTTCTTTTGTTAACGCACAAGTCTTTCAAGAACTTTGCGTACTTGAGTATCTGCTTGATCGCGTCCAATAGGGGGATGTTTACTTGAACTTTGCGGAACACATCTAGGATTTCTTTTTCCTTTTCTGCCCCCTTGGTTTTTTCCAATCTGCAAGGAAAAGGAGCTAGATAAGATTTAATAGGGATCGAAGGAATAGATGTTACCTTAGACTCTTTCCGAATACGCTCTTCCTCTTCAATTCCCTTTTCTATCTATTCCTCACTTTTGCTTTTCGAATTTACCAACTTAGGTCCTTCCACCTCTTTGCCACTCCTTAATGTCATGGCGCTTACATTCTTGGGATTTGCCTCGGATTGTGATGGCAATTTCCCATAGACGTGGGACTCCAGGCGGTTAATGGCAGTTGCCATTTGACTCATTCGAATCTCCATGTCCTTCATGCCTGCTTTGGTGTCCTATTGGAACTGAGTAGTACTCGCGACTAAGGACCTTGTCTCCTGCTGGAGCTGAGTGGTGGTTGTGACGAGTTGAGTGGTAGTCATGGCCAAACTCTTGACAATTTCCTCCAAAGAGCTTCCTGAATTGGAGGACGAGGGTTGAGACTTTTGTTGCCACGGTTGCTGGAATCCTGGTGGACGATCAGAAAATGAATTATGTGGCTTATTACCATAACTGAAATTGGGGTGGTCTCGCCAACCCGGATTGTATGTGTTGGAGTATGGATCGTACTGTCTACGAGGCGCGGGCACGCCTCCAGCCATGTTCACTTGTTCAGCCCCATTCTCTTGCAACAGAGGACATGAGTCAGTAGGGTGGCCCATATTTGTGCAGATTCCACAGGCTTTTACTTGGGGCACATTTCTCACAGCTAATTGTCGAACAATGGATGTCAGCTCCGACAACTGTTGCTGAATAGATGTCGTCTCCACCTCATTAACCCTACGGGTAGGGTTACTCTCACGGAAGCCAAACTGTTGAGAATTTTCTGCCATCGACTCAATGAGTAGCCATGCTTCCCTTGGTGTTTTGTTTGCTAATACTCCCCCACTTGCTGCATCAATGATACTCCTGTCGGACGTCTGTAGTCCCTCATAAAAGTATTGGATCAATAGTTGTTCACTAATTTGATGCTGTGGGCATCTAGTGCACAACTTATTGAATCTTTCCCAATAATCATATAGGGACTCCCCGGGATACTGTTTAATACTACATATTTCTTTTTTTAGACTTGCAGCCCGGGAGGCAGGGAAGAATTTTTCTAAAAATTTCTTCTTAAGTTGGGCCCATGTTGTGATACTACCTGTGGGTAGGTAGTATAACCAATCCTTCGCTGCATCCTTGAGGGAAAAAGGGAAGGCTCTCAGTCTAATTTGCTCTTCAGTGACCCCAGGAGGTTTCATACTAGAGCAAACCACCTCGAACTCCTTGACGTGTTTGTGGGGTTCTTCGCCAGAGAGACCATGGAAAGAAGGTAAGAGGTGAATCAACCCCGACTTCAGTTCGAAAGCCGTATTCTCAGCCAAAGTAGGGAATGTGATGCACAAGGGCTGGTGAGTCAGTTCCGGGGCAGCCAGCTCCCTTAATGTTTGGGTGTTGGCCATGCTTATTTCGTCTTCTACTGACTCGTTTGCAATAAATGAGTGCCCTTCTTTTCGTCTCTTGGTCTCTTGCCTCCGCTTACGCGCTACCTTCTCAACCTCCGCGTCGTATATCAATTCACCTGTGCGAGAAGAACGGGGCATAAACTAGCAAAAATACCAAGAAGAATAAAATAAAATAAAAACTGAATTTGAAAAGAAACAAATAATCCAAACGCCAGCTCCCCGGCAACGGCGCCAAAAATTGACAGGTGCCGAACCTGTGCAATAATAATTACTAAAAAATCCTAATTACCACCTTAATTAAATAATTATAGAACAAATCCAAGTACTGGAGCAGGGACACTAGGTGTGCAATGGGTTACTTGATTCACCCTGTTCCCGAAGAGTTTGCTTGATCCGATATACCGGATTTGTCTATAAAAATACTAATTTTGCGTACAATGGCAAGTAGGGTCGATTCCACAGGGAGCAGGTAGAAAATTATTTCTTTCCAAATTAGTAGAATGAAATTGGGGGATTTTCAATGGGAGGCAAATAAAAATAACATAAAATAAAACAAACAAAATTCAAAACTAACTCACAAAGCACAATTCACTAAAAATAGCAATTAACAAAATTCCACCCAAAGGATCAACTGCTCAGGCACGGTCCAATTAAATGATCATCGATGCAAAGATATTTCACCCATTCATCACTAGGTTGGTTATAGTTATCAATAAGCTCTGACAACCAATTCTTCCTTACCTTTTCGACAGTCAAGGTACGACCATTGACTGCTTCCCTAACCAGATAACAACCCTAGGTACGATCGTAGGAATTTAATTACCCAATTGCATTAAAGCTAGAAGAACCCAACCCTAACCAATAAACACGCTAAGAGGGTTTATTTAAGCTAGATCTTGCGTTTCCCCATCATAAAACCAATTATGGTGGTTGCCACGAGGTGTCAATTAAATGAACAATTACGGATTCTATTTAATTAACGTGGCAGTAGGCTATTAAATTAAATCAAATACCCGGCCGTTGATATTCAATTAATCAAATACCCATGAACAATTAATTCAGAAAATGCACGAATAGCAATAAATTGGAAGAAATAATGAAGATTCGATTAGATCTCACAGATTTTATGGACCGCGCCCTCGCGTCAACCTTTGGGTAGAGGAGAAAATTAGCCGCTCCTCATCGTATCAATCCCGCGTGACTTAAATGAATTCATTCAATTAATTGCCGAAGAATTGAAAAAGATGAATTAACGTAGGAACTGCTGAAAAAGCTTCGCTTCCCTTTGTTGGGTTTCGTGTTCGTACCCCTGGAGCGAGAGTAGAAGCAAAAGTCGAATAGGAAAAATTGTACAGAAGCCAAAAGCAAAAGCTACAGCAACGGAGAAAGTCTCCAATGTCTGACCCAGAGCCGCAGAAGGAACAAATGAAAAACCAAAAGAAAACCGTCTGACCAATCTTCCCCAAAAAGTAGAAAAAGAGAACCTAAGGCTAAAAAGTAGATGATGCTCAATCTTGCTTTGTCCTTTTCTTTTTATAGCCGCCGTCCAAGAAGAGTCAAAGAAGGAAACGTCTGGTGCAATTGATTCTACAAAAGCCATTTCCCTTTTGGAGTTTTGATCCCATATGCCTGGTCCACATGGACCACGGTCCGTCTTTCGTTTTCGTCCACCTTCCAAGGCGTGGTCACGCCCTGGGACGACAAGTCTTCTGGAAATCTACCCCGCGAGATCATTTTTAATGCCGATCATCTATAATTCATACGAATGTGAGATATGAGTTAAATCTCAGTATTTAGCACCGTAAATAGCCAAAATTAGGCCAAAATAACACTGCAAAATATGCCCAATAACTGCTCTATCAATGTTGGTAATTTTGTTTCTGTTGATTGGGTTACCTGTTAGCGACAATGGTGAGATCAAAGTTCTCTTCTAGGTCCGGAACCTCTCGACCTTAGCCTACCCCAACCCAACTCAACCATTTCCCGCCTCACCCACTGCTGTGGCCCCGTCATGACCCCCGTGATTTCAGGGAAGTACCGTTGCTCTTTTGCTAAAGAAGGGAAGTGGAGTACCACAACCTCCTTCAATTGGGGAACTGTCAAAGGGCTCCCAACACCTCGACAATTCTACACAAGGGCTCTCATTGGGGTTTGGGAACCCCATTAAGGGAGGGCTCCACCACCTCAGACACATCCATATAACACACCTCCTGATTAATCTTCTTTACTAGTATCAGTACACTGTCCATCCCCATTTCAATACTAGAACCTTTCCTTTTCCCTGGTTCAGCCTTATTAATACTGTTCGAAATGTCACTAAGAGGTTTCCTTCTCCCTACTTCTTGCACTAACCTCTTCTAGCTCCTGCAATTCCTTTCTTTACCCTTCTCCCTAGGATTACTACTGGCACTATGCTCCTCATTCTTTACCTCCCACTTGTTTTTTACATTTAGAATGACCTCTCTTACCTCAACAGATATAAGTTGTTCCGTCCCCTTGTTAGTGTCACAGTCCATCCATACCTGATCATACCCCAACCCCTCTTTTGATTTTTCCCCACCTATCTCCTCTACCCCTCTCCTTCTTGCTCTCTGACCTTTCCCCTTAGTATTAACTACCCCTTCTTCTTCTATATCTTGCTTTCCTACCCCCCTTCTTGTTCTACTTCGTTCCTCCTGTTCTTTCCTATCCATACTGACCTCCTTGACTTGCAATCCTCTTTACCCTTTCTAACCTCCTTATCCCCCACAGACCCTATTTATTTTTCTACCTCTTTCCCACCTTTTTTATGGAACTCCTCTGTATATGTCAAAAGTAAGTTCTGAATCCTTCTGTAGGAATTATTTTGGTGTGTATTATACTTCTTAGGGTTGCTATTATCTTGTTTTTGCTCTTTCTCACTTCCTCCATATCTACTATTAGTCTTCCTATTCGGCCTTCTAAGAAAGCTAGCTCTCAGCCAGTTACCATATTGCTGTTCACCTTTCATATCAAAGCCTTTAAATCCACAATTCTTCTCATTATGACCAATGGCTTCACAACAAAAGCAAAAATTCGGGCATTTTTCATATCTAAATTCTACCCATCTCATCATGCCATTACATTTGACCATAGTGCCTCTAGGAAGAGGTTTAGTAAGATCAAATTCAACTAGCAATTTCATGTTTTTACCTTCTTTCCCCCTACCTCTCTCTGGTGATTACCTCAATGACTTCATTGAATATTCCTCCCATCTTCCTCCCTACCTCTTTGGTGATCCAGTGTAGAGGTAGGTTCCAAACCTGCACCTATATTCTGCACTTGTCAAAAGCATTTTGCTCGTCTTCAATTCCCTCCGTCCATTTCACAAGTATTAGCGGTTGGCCATCATAGATCCATGGCTTGTCGTTCAATGCTCGTTCCAAATCTGATTTCTGAACAAACGTAAATTGAAACATATTAGTACGGATCTCCGTTACCTTCAAATTTTTCAGATGAAACCACATATGCTCCGCAAAACTCCTAATCCCATTTATATTCGCTATCTTCTCTCCCTAGATATTCCCCAACAAGCTCAGACTACATTCGTCAACTCCCTTCGTGAACTCCTCCTTCTCCAACCACACGCCTTCTTTCTTTGTACTTGAAAGAGTAAATTTCTTCATCACCCTCTCCAGGTCGTCCATCCTTCACAGAAACCACAGTCCTCCAGTGATCCAAGGTCAGCAACCTCTCCTTAGCTAAGCAAGAAGGAGCTGTAACTTCTATGCTTCCTCACTAATTACCTAAACCACAAAACAAATAGAGATAAGCTAAAAGAAACAGACGCTAAAATCTACATAATAAGAGAAATAACCAGAATCAAATTTGGGTATCTTTGAATGCATTATAGTTCCTGTTGAATGCGAGATCTAGCTCAGAGTTCAACCCTAGGCTCCCAAATTAGAAATTCCTTACATAGATCAGGGAAATGGAAACAATCTATATTGGGAAATAATTGAATACGATTCTGGATTATAAATGTGGAAGCAGTTATGGAGACTTGACGTTAATTTTTGAAAGGAGTAAAAACACCCACTACGGGAAAAAGACTCTCTAGAGAGAGAAAGTACTCTCAAAGAGAGAGACCTCTTACAGCGGTTCTTTTGGAAGCACAAGGTTGTAGAGAGATTTGATGGCAAAATTACAGATTTTACGTGTAACTTACTATGCGATTTCACCTAGCTTTGAGTGGCCTAAATTGTTTGTTGGGCATAAAACGAAACTCTTCGTACTATGGTTTGAGGTCAAATTCACTTGCCTCCCCTCCCCTCGTGTATTCTTCCCAGGATGTTCAAAGTGCTTGCTTTATGCTTTGCACACAGTAAAGCAGCAAGTCATAATCATTTAGGTGACTGGTTCGATATCATTCTGGTCAGCAAGACTGCAACATCGTTAGCCTCTGCCTACTATCATTAAAGTTGTCTCGGGACCATTGGTTGATGGATTATTAGGCCATGTTATTTAGGCCGAACAGAACCACTCATCAATGCTTCACTGGCTACAGATGAAATTGACATAAATCAGTATTAACCGAATTGACTTTAATCAGGCTAGCTCGAAGTTCGAGCTCTTGCTGGAATGGATTATTGTATTCTTTTATATGTGTATTAGTTGTCCTATACGATTAATGTAAAATTTTACTACACTAATACATTGGGATGCACGACATTTAAGTTATGTTCAAATTTTACTTACGTGAGATGCATCTAAATTTGCTAATAAGAAAGGATATTTATCTTGATGATATCAAATGAATTAAGATATTTATCTTACTGTTTGCATTTATCGATATAAAGCAAAATCCATCTTATATGATGAAATTATTTATTTATATTACTTCACGTTGATTAGGTTCAATTAGTCTCGATCAGTACTCATATGAAAAGATCTTTATAGTCACGATATCAAATGAATTAAGATTTTTATCTTGCTATTTTCATTTATCGATATAAGTTGAAATCCATTTTACATTACAAAATTATTTATTTATATTACTTCGCATTGATTAAGTTCAATTAAGCTCTATTAGTACTTAAGACAGAGCTTATTTGAGTCGAGCTCAAATTGTTATATTTTATCTTAATGCTTGAGCTTAAGATCTCATATTTCAGTCGAGTTGAGGTCAAATAGTTTATTGCTCAAATTCAACTACTTTAATTGTTTGCATCCTTCGACAACTCAGTTAACCATGCAACTGCTAGTCTGCTATGCCTGTCAGGGTCAAAGCAAAGCATGACAGCTTAGATGTGCTTAGGCATCTAAACAAGAAATTTCCTAATAAAATACTAATTTCTAAACAATAAAATTACTATAGCTTAACCCCAATAAAACTATCGAAAATTTGATTTAACCAAAACACTACTAAATAACAATATGAAAATTTCTATTTTTGAGTCTTGATTTAATATGCTAACATCTTTTAGCTCAAAAGATTTCAACCTTTGTTGTTGCTAACCATTCGCCTATCTAAAACATGCCCAATATAAATTATTTCGTAACGTAATGCCTTCCACATTAAAAGATTAATAGAACTCACAAAATCATAAAAGAAAAGTAGAAATGCAACATACCACAAGTATTTTGTCTCCCGCATCAATCATGAATAGGAGAATTACAATCATTTTAAAGATCTCTGCTTTGATAACAGATAGGGAGGGGTTGAATATTGAGTTCCAACTTCTTACTTTTTTTATGACAAATGGATGGAATTACCATTTCCACAATGCTTAAGGCTTCAAATCCTTCTTTACCACCATCAATGTGATCAACAGGACAAGGCCATCGAATGAACTAAACTCACTAGTCTCTGATATAAAAGATTCCTAAAGGAAGAATTTAATTCAAAGTCAAAAAAGTGGTCACCAAACTCCCAACAAAATGAATAAATAACAAGCACAGGCAGAAAGTTCAATTGGGAATGTATTTCAACGTGGCAAACCTAGAAATGATCATCTCTTATTCAACAAATGCAAATTAAAATTGAGTACTCAATAACTCAAATATATGTGGCTAAGGTCACATTATAGCCCACGACTGCATCACCGGTTGTGGGATCCAAAGAGTAGGTTTGGGCAATAGCATATCCCCGAGCCAACCGGAACAAACCGGTTCCACCCACTACGGTCATTTCTCGAACCGGATTTAATGCCGGGTTGATGCTGAGAATGCTAAATGAGCTGTCCTTGTATGTCCCATCTAGGAACTCATAGCACATCACCATTACGAGCCCGAAATCGGTTTGACCGGCTGAACCGTACATTCCCCTTGCCCGCCCCACAAGTCTCGAGTTAGGGTCCGGTCCTACCGTTAATGGATCATCCACCATCATCAACGATCCGAACCCATTGGGCGTAGAGTTGGCCTGGGAAGCTTGGGCTATCCTTACTGCACTAGGGTTTCTTCCGCTGAGCACGTCGTGAAAGTAGAATTGAAGAGTGGAAACCACTTCTTTCCCGGAATCAACCCGCTTGGCCCATGTAGTGTCATCTTGGGCTTGAGCCCATGAAGCCATTGCTGCCACCAGGGTGATCAACATCGCTAGGAGGACTAGCCTGGCCATCTCTCAATCCCTCTCTCCCTATCTTTCTGTCAATTTTTTGAGCAGCAGAATTTGAGCAAAGAAACTCAGGAGAAATGGAAAGCTGGGGCTCGGCAATTTATACTGGCAGGAAGTACGAAATAGGAAGTAAGCAAAAGTGTTTCAAAGTTTCCAAAAGATATTCTGACCAAAAATAATACATAGTTGTTAAACCGACTCAACTAGTTTAATGTCAGAAGGTGGCAAGTGTAACTAAAGCTCAATTGGACAAAGCGAACAATTTAAGTAGTTGGCTGGTAAGTGGCAAACTGGAACTATAACCCTACAAGAAAGAGCCACTATAGTATGGAAAGTCCAAGTTGGACCCCATGAAACTGTCAACATCTAACCTCGTTTGTTCCCTTTTTTTTTTTTTAAGTTATTTGCAAAGTAATAATTGTTGGCAAAATAAAAGAAGTTTAGAAGTATTTATTTACTTATTTACTAACTAGTTTTATTGGAGTCAAGTTTTTAGTAGTTGTGTTATTTAGGAGTATGTGTTTTATTTGATAATTGTTGATGTAAGTGGTTTCTTTTTCAATAAGTCTGATAGGTTATAAATAGAGAATTAATTGTAATATTTTCTTAAGAGAGTCCAAAATGAGTTTGTAAGATTTTATTGTGGCGCGATTTTCTTACACTATTTTGAGATATCAATAATATTGTGAGTTATTTATTACTTCTATCCCACATAAATATTTCGAGCGATTATTTTATTCCTTCAGTTCTATAATCCTGCACGTAATTATTATTAGAACTCTAAATTTGGGTTCTACAATAATTTATTTGGTAGTTGATGTGTATTAATCTAATCTAAGCATGCATTTGTACGTAATAATATGTATGTCATAAACTACTAATCAATAGTAAATCACTAGTCATAGACTTAACTGATAAGCAATGAGGATTGTTTATTCTAATCCGACAATGTAGTACTAACAAAACAATATGTAACTCCTCAATAACAAGTTAGGCACAAAATAGGGTGCTTAGTGAAGAGGAATAATTTCTTATCCTCCCCAAATAAATTTGATATTTCCTAGTGGTTAAATCTTTAAATAACAATTTAATACTAGCACTCTTTGTAAATTTTGACATTTTCCACCTTTTAGCATTTTTTACGGTCTTTAATGTAACCCTTTATATATATATATATATATATATATAGCGCTAACGATGTAGTTTTGAAAATACTTTATTTTTGCTTTCACCAAGTTATTGAAAAGTGTGAATTTCGCTAGTTTTGTAATTTGATGCAAATGAACATGTTATTGGAACTTCTTGTCGTTTATCAGTCATTAGGAAAATAAGTTACGTGGATTCTTTTCTTTTTTGATATGTTACAAATTAGCATTTTAGGAATATTAGAATCTAATCATAATTGGTGGGATGAAAACTAAAACAGTAAAACATAAGGTTAGACTGTGTAGAACCCAAAAAAATTTTAACAAAAGAGTATAGGAGATAAATTTCATAGAATCAATGTATATTGGGATGCAATTTACAACATACAAGTATATGTGAGAGAAGATGAATAATACCAACAATAATATATTAATCACACACCTTAATAACAAGTGATAGGTTGCAATTTTATCATTTATTTTATTATTAATTTTCCCTATTACTTGACCTGATATGAATTAATTGTTAGATTCTACTCACTTTTCGTAATTTATATTTATTTCAGGGAGTAGAACAAAAATATCACAATAAAGGCCAATTTGATAGTTATCGGGAAAGAGTTCACATAGCAAGCAATCGAGGATATTTTTGGAATAAGGAGATACAAGTCCTTTTTGGTAATTCGCAGAGGGCAACATTAAAAGGAGGAACGAAGGGCTGAAGTAGGGAGTCTTCTTCCCCCTGGGGGAACCGCCGCACAGCACAGGGCTGTCTGGTCCTCTTAGTTTTTCCGTTTCTTTAGTTTTAGCTTAGGATTTTGACTTTTCTTCTCGTAGGAATTTTGGGTAGCCTTTAGCTTAGCAACTTTTGTTGACCCCTTTTTTTGGCCTTTTAGCTAGTTTGTTCTTACGCATGGAAGATGGCTGAATAGCTGAGGCTTGTTCTTTGTTTTTCTTTGACTTTTCCTTTTGGTTTGCTTCCTGCGGACGCCCAGACCGAAGGAAAACTATGAAGTCCCTTTTGTAGCTTTCTCTCTTTATTAAATAGACGAATTGAATTCCCTCAACTTGCGAATTGCTGGCCGCAGCTTTTGCTTCAATTTCTTGTGGGTTTAGTTCATTAATTATGAACTAATTCTACAATTCTAGTCAAGGGACAACGGATGCTTTGATTCGCCTAAAAATTGTGAGATCGATTTAATTTTATCTCTTTATTTTATTTATTGGTATTTGCATATTCTCTGATTGTATTGCTTATGGTTGTTTAATTAATTGATTGTCTTGGATCCGGATAATTAGTTAATTTAATAATCTATTGTCAATTGAGGTGTTAAATCCGTAATTGTTTAATTACCTCAAAATAGTGACAACTGGCACGATTAGATTCGTGTCAGGGGGGTATGCGGGCTAATCTAAAATAACCCTGGTAGTGCGTTATTTGGTTAGAATAGGGCTCCTCTAATACGTAAGGCAATTGGGGAATTAAATTCTACGGGCGTACCTAGGATTATTTCTCAATTAGAGCAGTGATTAACGGGCGTACCTTGATCACCGACACAGTAAGGAGGGGTTGACTGTCATCGCTTGTTTGGTAGTTATAACCTATTTATTAGTAAATAATTGGAATTGCCTTTGTTTATCGATAATCAATTAGGTGAACCATTGCTGAAGTTATTCCTTGGCTAGATCCTTAATTATCACTCATTAGATTTTAGTAATTTGTTATTTAATTTTTAGTAGTTTCTTAGATTTTATTTGAATTTATTTGATTGTCACTTTCTGCATAAAAACACCCACTTGTCACTGTGAATTTGAAAGAAACAATTACTCCCAGTCCCTGTGGATTCGACCCTGCTTACCACTGTCTACAGAAATTATTTTTAGTTTGAGCAGGTATTTATTATTGCACAGGCTTCGACAACCTGTCAATTTTTGGCGCCGTTGCCGGGGACTGATGTCAGATTAATTTGTTTCTTTTTGAGTTCACCTTGTTTTCATTTTTAATTTATTTTTTTTTTCTTATTTTTTTTATGGCTTCTAACACTTCGTATTTTGGTGAAATACTGGATTTTCTTTCCGGGAAATGCGATATGACTAGTTTTATTGCTGAATCTGCATATGCAGAGGCAGTAAACTCTATTAGAAAAAGAATGGCTGCTGCAACCTGTAAAATTTGTTATGCCAGGGATCATTCAACAGGTATGTGCCCCGAATATCAAGATAATCAGAGTGTCCCATTCAATAATTACGGAGATTTTTCACCCTGGTCTCAAACGTGGTATGACCCTAATCCATACGGGTATGATCAAGGATGGTGGGATAACTCCAATTATAATTATTCAACGGGGCCAATGAATTTTCAGCAGTATGAGTCTCAAGAATCGTCATCTATGTCAGGTATGTATCCTGAAGAAATAGTTGAACCAATAGCTACTAACACATACCAATTCCAACAGGAGACACAAATGGAGGATGAGATGATGAAGGATGCAATGAATTATCTGGCAGATCAACTATGTCTATTGACATCCAGAGTGAATCGATTGGCTTCTCAAAGGGAAGAATTGCCCTCGGAAACCATTGTTGATCTAGAAGAAGATGAGAGTGCAATTGTCCGGCCAAATGACATGGAACTGCAAGAGTTTCAAGAAAACGGATTTAAAGATGCAGTTGAAAAGGAAGCTGAAGTGCAAGAAATGAGACTCCAGGATCAACTCATTCAAGTGAACGATTCCAGTGAACAATCTCCAAATGCGGTGACATCTTCTCCACTCCTTAATCAATATTTTCCTGACTCCTATTCTTCAACTCCTGTTACTGAAATTGATTTTATTATACCAGAAAATTTAAAATTTCATGACAGGAATAAGTTAAGAGTGGAGATGGCAAAATATCTTGAACCAATGAATGCGTGTGATGGAGGAGTGAGTGGAGAATGCAGATCATTGTTGACTTGTTTAGCGCCATTTATTAGTCCATGGAAGCCCGTAACTCGTGTGCCCAAGAATTACTCCATCTACGAGGGTTATCAGGACTATATAGAGGATGAAGCATTAAGACGAGCTACAAGATTTTATCCGCCATGAGCAAAACGTGATAATGTCTAGCCAAAGACATTAAAGAAAGGCGCTCATTGGGAGGCAACCCAATTGTTTCTTTTAGTTGTTTGTTGGTTTCGTGTCATAGTTTAAATTTGTTTTCCTTGAATTTGACTGATTTTGGGTGTTAATTTTCGTTTTTGCTGATTTGTAGGTGACCTTCAGTCATGACGCGCCCGCGTGGTGATGTGCATGAAGCTCACGATCAGAAACTTCTGGGAGCTCTCTTGCCCTCATGACGCGGCCGCGTGGTGATGTGCAGGAAGCTCACGATCAGAAACTTCTGAAACTTCTGGGAGCTCTCTTGCCCTCATGACATGCCCGCGTCAAGTATCACGCGGAAAGGTAGGATTAAAAAAAAAAAAAAAATTCACCGTAGCAAATATTTCTCACTAAAAAAAAAAAAAAAAAAATTTCTTTTTTCTTTCTTTCCTTTTCTTTCTTTTCTTTCTTTTTTCTTTCTTTCTTCTTCTTCTTTCTTCCTCCCCTGCTCCCTCTCTGTTGCCCGAATCTCTTCGCCGCGCGCCGCCACTACGTGGCTCTCTTCTTCCTCGGTCTCCACAGTCGCGCCGCCACCATCTTCACCACGAGCTACCATCGCGCGCCATCGCAAGCTGCTGCCCTCTGCGCAGCCACTGCCGCTTCAACGCACGAGGCGCGCCCCTCCCATCTCTCTCTCTCTCTCTTCACGAGACCGTGGCCGAGCAACCCACGCCGCCTCCACTCCAGCTTGTTCGCCGCTGAAGCTCGATCCGCCGCCCACTGCGCGGCTTCCTTCCATCTTCCTCTAGCTCTGCTGAGCTCCGCTGCCCCCGCTACTGTCCGCCGACCACCGGCCATAGCCTCTCGCTCGTAGCCACCACA